TTACGAGAGCACGATATCATCGGTTCATCGGACAGGCCATTAATTCAATTAATCTATTAGAATATTAATTTTCAGTTGCGCCGCTAGGGCGGACATTTAATTAAATACTCTCCGAGGGATTTCGGGGAGTAATCAGAAACAGAGTCGATCAGATATATATGCAGTGAGCCGAAGCTGGGAGGGCGCGAAATAATATCGAACACGTGCACGCGAGCGAACCTTGACCCTGACCGGAAGAGACCCCAATAGGAGAGCACAGAAGTCCATGCCGTATTCGGGCAAACGAGCATCCCGCTACCACCACTACCACTTCCATCACCGTAACCATTGCTGTCTCCCAAATGGAATGGCCCTTCGTACATTACGCACGCTCTCGTACGCGGTAGTCCAAAAGGGCTCGGCCCGGAGACGAATGGTTACGAGCGTGGCTCGCCCAAAACGGCCCGTATCGCTCTCGTATACGGCGATTAGCATAATTTGACGATCACCGAGTCGATGAGTTTGCTGGTTTCGCATATAACACAGAGTTACCACAGGGATTTTCGCTATTTTATACGTTCAGTTTTCGAACATCAACGTCTTATATTGATAGAGTAGGTTAAAAGTCCTACTCCAAGACTTTGATGGAAATTCGAAATAGATAAAATATCGATATTTCGGTTTTTTTTCTTTTTTTTTTTTTTTTTTTTTAAAGGCCACCATATCGAGCTTTGATACATTAGATATATTATTACACGCAATCTTTTCGATACACCAAAGCATTTAATGTATGCGAGATGGTGCGGGGTACAGTACAGAAAATTATTTCTTGATTTATGTGAATAATCATACACGAAAATGTCTTGTCGAGATTTAAAATACTTTAGTTGGTTTATGGTGATTTTTGTAAATTGTAATAATGCTTTTTTCTTCTTTTATCATTCTTACGTACGTTGAATTTTTGTCATATATAGAAACAGATATATTCCTTTATAGAGAAATCTGTTTTGTTTTTATCTTTTCTTTTCTTTTCTTTTTTCTTTCTTCATTACTCTTTCAATCGTTCTATCTGTAAATGTTAAATGATTTCTTGAAAAGGAAAGTAATTTTGTTTTTTTTTTTCGTAATTAAAATTGTTTTTAAATTTCATCCTTCTAACAGACAATCCAATAGCGAAGGAACAAACAACTTCTTAGAATCCAGAAGCGACGTATCGCCGATCACATTCTTTAAGGTCCAATTTCGTTTCGACTTCCATTTTGAGAATCTTGTAAACGTCATCGTCGATAGTTTATATTCAATTATGTTAACTTCTTAATGCTAAAAGCATCTAAACACTTCTCCAGCTAGTTTGAGTAAGGTGAAAGCCGTCTGCCAAGATGAGGACTACATCGAAATCGTGATTATGCAAAGATATGCAAAAGTTGGGAATACATTATTCCTTCTTTCTTGATAGAGACGAATATATGACCGATACCGACCATTTCATGGAATTCCAATGTTTTGTCGTGTGAAAGAAAAAAAAGGAAAAAAAAAAAAAGAGAAAAAGAACAGACCGTATATGCCACGATATATAAAATAAAGAATAAAAGTGTAATATAGCAAGACATTACTAGGAGGGACGCTTTCGATCGTTATTGCTTTTTGTATACGATAAGAAAAATTCCACAATAACGTAGGGAAAGAATAGGAAAGAAATGAAAAGAAAGGTGTCTCGAAAATGTCACTTCTCGTTGCATTAAATGAGGGAGGAAGCGTTCTCCGGGATAATACGGATTTTTACGAAAGAAAAAGATAGAAAGAAAACTGAAGGTCTTCGAGAAGGGTGTCAAACGTGCAAAAAGAGAGAGAGAGAGAGAAAGAGAGGTAACGCTATTACGCGTATCTGCTTTACATGTACGGCAACGTATACCCTTTTATAAAAAAAAAAAAAAAAAAAAAGAAAAAAGAGAGAGAGAAAGGGCGCCCTAGTGCATGTGCATCCACTATTCTACGTGAAACCCACGGTGGTACCGTGCAGAAAGAGCGTGCCTAAAGAGAAAGAAAGAGTGGACGAGAAAGATAGAGAGAGAGAGAAAACAAGAAAAGAGAGAGGTAGATAGATGGATAAAGAGGGAAGGTGCACCGCGAGTAAGTAAAACTCTGTGAAGGGAAAACGGGTATCGGTTGCATGCCGAGAACGGTAGGAGGAACGTTGGAGAAGGGCTTCTTTCGGCTCCAACGACTCGGCTATTCTACACTTTTTCCCTCCTCTCTCCACCCTCGGTACGCTTCTTTGCGCCTTATGCGACTTGTGGCTTACGCTACTCTCTCTATCTCTCTCTCTCTCTCTCTTTCTCTTTCTTTTTTTCTCTTATCCAACGTAACTTTGAAATACCCCGAGTAGGATAAATCGATCGAAGCTTTTCTCTTCGTATCGTTAGAAGAAAATGAACGATTTTCATCTTCCTTGCGACTACGTTTAACGAGAACAAAAACGGAGAGTAGGCTGAAGAGGATGAGGATGAGATGATGGAGGTAGAGGTAGAGGTAGAGGTAGACGAGGATGCGCTCAAAAGAGGATCGGTCGAAGGTAAAGTTAATGAAATGCAAACGAGCGTCAGAAGCGACGGGTTATCCCGCAATTTGCGTAAAGCGTGCAGCCACAACGCGCGTAACAAGCACAAAATAAACGCGCGGATAAATACGTGAGGTTAACGGGAATAAAATAGTTCGAAGCGAGAGTTTGCTGGAGGAAAAAAAAAAGGAGGAAGAGTACGAAAATGGGAGAGAGAGAGAGAGAGAGAGAGAGAGAGAGAGAGAGAGAGTTTGGGGGTTGGTAGAGAAGAAGCGAGCAAAGGTAGAATGATGAGAGAGAAAGAGAGAGAGAGAGAGAGAGAGAGAGAGAGAGAGAGGAGAGGGAGGAAGGGAGGGAGGGAGGGAGAGAGAGAAAATTAATAGGTGGATATTTATTAAATCGAACTGTGCAGGCCACAAGAGCAAATCGGTATTTGTCCATTGTCTGGGCGATTTAATTGCAAACATCAATATGTTTTATTTGCCGTCTAGCTCTCCACTCTCCCTCTGTTCTTCCATTCGTTCTTTTCTCTCTTATCATTCTTCTCTTTCACTCTCTCACTCTCTTTCTCGCACTCTCTCTTTTTCCCTTGTCCCCTCTATCCCTATAGATGACCGAATACGTTGCTGTCCCTTCTGTGATTTTTTTTCGCTTTTTTTTCTTTTTTTTCTTTTTTTTTTTTTTCTTCTTTTTTTTTTTTAGTCAACCATCGATGGTACTCGTCTCTTGTACGTTCTCTCTTTTTCGGAACAGATATAACCAGCCATTCGAAAATTTAACTTGCCTGTTTGGGAGGCCAAACATTTGTTCGCGCGCGGTCGGTTTGCTCTCGGGCAAGTGGCCGGATTTTTGCTGCTACGCGCTCGTTAAACTAATAAATCAGGTGCATCAGGCACGATTATTAGTTCCTTTATTTCCTTACTTTTTTTTTTTTGTTTTCTTTTTTTTTACGAATACCTTATCTTTTCTTCATCCTATGAAACTAAGATATTTTTATTTTCTACCTATTTATTATCTTTTATAATCTTCGATACGAAGAGAATAAAACGGTTATTGTTTATAAACGAAGGACGCTTAATTTAAGGGATCCTCTATTTGTTCTCATAAAAATCGAAGCGAACACGTAATACCTACCTCGTCAATACCGAATGTTTTTCTCTGTTCGTATACCAGCAAGAGAATTTAATAAAAATTCCGATACTCAATTTATCATGTAGAAAATTGATCCCCGTAATGAAAGAAATCCTCGGATCATATGATGGGGGAAAAACGATAACGAGAGAAAAGAGAAGGCATCGATGAGAAGTAAAACCGCAAAAGAACTATTGAGAATGGAAGAAAAAAGGAAAAAAAAAAAAAAAAGAAAAAAAAAAAAGAAAAAAAAAGAAAAAGGAAAAAACTCTTGCGAAAATGAAGAGAAATGGAGAGAAAAAAGTATGTTGAGAATAAAAAAAATAATATTCATTCTCGCTCTGTTTGGTTTCGTAACGCCTACGTATACAAGTTTTCGCATGTATCCTTTGACCTCTGATGCGTACCTTTGAACAACACTTACCGAGACGAGTGTAGCTCCTTGTTACTGAGACAGAGAATAAATGGGACGAAGTTATTTCGAGAAACGCAAATAGACGTAATTTCGAATTTAATACTAATTACGCGAGGTACGGCAAATTAAGTTAAAATTAGATCTTCTTAAAATTAGATTTTCAGAAGGGGATATATGATTTGTATAAGAATGAATTACGATTTTATTACATAGAGAAATGCCAACGGGTTTTCTTTTTGCGATAATCTTGCCAATTTGTTTCTCGATGAGAAAATGCGAATGGAGAAACGCGAAGAGTCAAGAAAATTCCATGAAGGCATTGACAGGCGATTTAACGGTTCGTCGGTGCGGATTTTCTCGGTGTAATGGAGTGTAATTTTCGCGGTAATCTTCCACGATTAGATCTAACACCTTTCACTCGTGTACGCAGTTAACGACCTCCCGCGAGCCGCACTTGTTACGATTCCCACGTGATCGTTGTCGAAGGTTGTAGACCTAATCGAGATGAGTCGCAGTTCCTCGCTCGAGGCTTCGTAGCTTCCGATCGAAGGCGTGATCGTGTGTGCTCGAGAAAACGAGATTCTCCTTCGTAAAACGAGTCGAGAAGGTGGTTTTCGAACGATGAAAAAAAAATAAAAAAAATAAAAGAAAAAAGAAAAAAAGAAAATAAAGAAAGAGAGAGAGAGAGAGAGAGAGAAGAAAAGGAAAAGAAAAAGAAAAAGAAAAAAAATTCTTCCATACAAAAATTTGCCGTACCTACCTACCTACCTACCTACCTACCTACGTTTTTTCTTGTAAAGAATGCTTTTTTAGGAAAGAAAGAACGTGCTTTGGTTGACCACGCAGGCTACATCACATCGATTTATTAATCCGTCGAAGACCGGTAGCAAGGACGAAGAAAGGAAAGAGAGGAGGGCG